ATGCTAATGAGTTTGCTGATTAAAAAAAGGACTGCGCCTTTTGATGTCCGACGACCTCTGCGTTGTGTTGAAATTCCGTTTCCAAAGGGGACTTATTAGCCTGGCCACTAATTAGGCCGGACTCTTACCGCTCTAAACTTGACACAAATTGGCCAAGTCAATCAATTACCACATAGTGGAAGTCATTTTCGTTTCATCCATCAATCGCCTAATCAATCTGGGCAGAGCAAATAGCCAGGGAAAAACTTTTGCCTCTGAATTATGAATTTATGGAGAAAGCCATGCGAAAACTGTGCCGATTTCAATAAAAATCATTAACCGAGCACTCAAAGAGGTTCTAAAACCACTCGCATTCGGCACGGAGTGGGAAAAGTTTCCGATACATTAAATATGAATGAGATGTTGGGGTAATTAAGCTAAACAGATCCAGAAACAATAACGAAACTCGAAATAAATATCTTGGATAAACAAACCGCAAAATGGGCAGTCATAAAATGGAACGAGGTGGCGCCTCCACTGCCGTGAACTTCTTTTTGGCAAAAACACATTTCCAATCGAATTTAAATAAACAGCGCCCGCCGTAATCAAAATAAACCTCAACAGGAAGCCAATTCAAATAGCTCACGAATTGCTAATGTACTCTTCGTAGTAGGTACAATAAATGACAAACAGAACAGTATGCCTGCCATTATGGCTGATTACCCAATTTGAATTTTCAATATTTCCGGGAAATTTCATTTCGGCCTGACGAAATTCGCAAAATATGCATTCCTAGTAATGGCAGGGTTTTTTGGCTTTCGTTCTGCGCAACAAATTGTGAATCATTGTGGAACAAGCTGAATTCACTTACCCGAAAAAGACGACTCTTTAAGACTGGAATTTCATTAATCTCTGTCGCACGTTCTTGGGCATATTAAAATATGTCTTTTGTGGCGAAACGTGAATATAAAAAGACCAGAAGCGACAGGCGAATAAACATCTTTGTGTAAGCTTTAAAAACCTTTCTCGTAAAAGTCAAACGAGAAGCATGCAACAAGCTGGGCCAGGAAGCGGGCCAGGGAGAAGGTCAACCCAGTGGCTTCTGTGTCGAGGTTGCACCCACCCGCACACGCACACCCAAACACACACTTGCTATAAATCTTCCATTCATGTGGGGCAACAATGAGGCCCAGACGCTTTCTTGTCCCACAACTAAGACAAAAGATACACAGAAATCAAGTTTAAGTGCAGTTGAAGGCGGAAACACGATGCTCGCTCTAGGCAGGAATACACTAGGGGAAAAGCTTTCATAGGAAAAAGTATTTTGAAAACGTTAAAAAAGGGTATTATTTAAGATTTTACAAGCTTGATAGGTTTTTATATAGTTATCTATTATCTATACTATTTTATTTAGTTATATTGTTATTAGTTTTATAAAAACTTTGACTTAAAGCTTTGAAGTACTTAGAAGGAATTCTCCACAACTCGTTAATCCTTTACTTATATGAATTAGTTTTGACAGTTGTGGTTTGTGCTAAAGCATCTCTTATTTTATCGAACATGACCAATGACATGAAAACAGTTTTATAAATGTTAAATAACCAATTCCATTTTGGACTCAAATTAATGTTGGGATTTGTGCTTGTCATGTTATATCCCATATTTTTTGTTAGTGTTTAAAAAGCGGAGCTTCACCTGACTTGGTATTGGTACGCGATTATAAATCACAAATGTTGGCTGGCATTGGCCGTGTGCCTCCTAAACAAGTGCAATTATTTTAATGCACTTTTGACTTTTGACATTGCAAGGCAGTGTGGCAGAGGCTTAAAGCACTGTTGAAGCATTTATGCTGTCATTGTCTCAACATACACACACACCGACACAACCAAAGGCAGGTTGCACTTGGCGGAAGAGAAGACTCCTTGAGTCGCATCACGTCCAAGGTCATCCAGTTGAACTTGACAAAGGATTCATGCGTTTTCGTTTTGGCTTTCGCCATGGCGGTTGCTTTAATTTTGCATGCAATTTCATATAAACGTTTTTCCTCGCCATTCTGCCCCTGCTCCTTGAGCTTTGAGGCCAGCAGCAATTTTCCATATTTTTCCCCGCCAAGTTAACCCTTCAACGTTTCTTTCTGCTGGCGAAACAAATTGAATTTATGTTTCAGCGCACAGCGATCGCAGGGAAAGCAAAATGTTGCCAACGTCATTGTGGCGCGTTGGTGGATGCCTACGCACTCCGGGGGGCCATTTGAATACTCAACCGAACCCATCCCCTGGGCTTTCCCCTTTTTTCGGAATGGTGGCCACGTCATGGCCCATTTGTTCTATGACCTCTCACACCGCCCGCCGCCGACATCACAGCATAAACAAATTTTGCAAATGTGCGCATAAAACTTACGAAATTGCAAAAATTTATTTTATTTCACAGCACCACACACCACACACGACGTGGCAGTGACAAGCTCCTTTCCTTGGCGTTTCCTTTGTTTTGTTTTCAACACAATCTCTGTGTTGGGGCTGTTGTATGAGTGTTGCTGGTATCCTGTCATCTCGGCTTTCCGTTTATCTGTGTTCGTGGCCCGTCGCCTTCTGGCGCTAATTTAATTAAGCTTCATAGACCGAGCCAGAGGACTGTCTGACGAGCCGGCAATATGTGTCAGTGCAATGTGTTGTAAATCTATTCAAGTGACTCACCCGCCCACTCACTTCGAATATTTTCGAAGGCAGAACAATAAACAAATATAAAATATCGTTTCGGCCTTCTCGGCCTGTGCGCCTTTTATGGCCATATAGCCATAAAACACAAGCACACGCAATCGAGTCAAGTAAAGTGACTCTCTCGGCCACAGCGTTGCGTATACGACGCGTTGGCTGCATTTCATTTAATTTTACGCCTGCCGCTCGGCAAACATAATTTGATTGATGCCCCCGCGGCTGTGGCTTACATGTGTAAGCCAAAAATAAAACTGATAAATTGACTTATTACAACTTAATTCGCCAACCAACCGCCGCAGGGCCACATTTTAAGTTCTGTTTCTGTTTGTGGGCTTACCAAAATTTGCAGACGTATGTGGAGCGCCAGGAACTCAAAAGGGAAGCATAATTTATTCCTGGGGCCAGGTAAAATGCTTATGAGCGTAAAGGAGGAGGGCGGCATTTCATTAATATTAATTGACCAATTCAAAGGGACAGGACCGGCCAACAAAGAACAATTGAGTCACGAAAATGAACTGGCAATAAAGGCCGCAAGAGCAAGCCAAAAGCCAGTTAGTTGCCGGCTTATTTATAACCTTTCAACCGCGCGCGGAGACACAGCCCAGACAAATGGACCCAAATAAATAAAGATAAATATTTAAATAGCCAAGCTGTTAAAAAGAGCTCGCAGCGGGAGAGCAAAATCAAACGGAAAAATGGAAACTGTCACAAACATTGACAAGGCCTGGCCGTAATGCCACCGAAAAAAGGGCAACAGATATTTTTCGTGAGCCGCATAATTAAAAGGCTTCTGCTTGAGAACCTTTCGGGTATATAAAATAATAAGTGCTAGCTTAAAGCACTTCCATATTTATGTTCCGAGTCTTTTCCGAAGTCCTTTCAATTTTTGTTGCCTTTCTATTGATAATGTCGATGAACAGCAGCTGTGGCCATTTGTGCGAGACCCACTGGGGGCGTCTGCATTAGTTTTTATATTCAATTCCGTTCACCTTCCATTTGGCACTGCAAAAACTTATCAAAAGTTTCCCGTCTGGTTCCTGTTTTCTTTATTTTTTTGGCCAGCAATGTCAGCAGCGATTCAATGGGCAAAGCCATTTTCACTTTTGCAAAAAAATAAAAGAAAATTCATTTGACGATTTTATTTCATACTCTTTCAAAAAGCTACAGAAAATATTTCTGCTAGTCACAGAGTTGGTATAAAAATAAAAAAATTGTCGTTGTCATCTACTTTGTCATTGTTGTAACCTTAGGCGAAGGCGAATTTTGGTTGTCATTAAAGCTGAATTTATTTTGTCATTCTTGTCAAATATATTTTAGGGATTGCTACTATTTTCAGAGGGGTTTTGGGACAGATTCTATCATAGATTTTGTTAATAATGAGAATTATACAAGTATTTTGATTCTTTCAACTAGATTGAAAGATTTTTAAAGAGTAATAATAAATTGTATTCCAACAACAATATACTTTTCAGAGCATTTTGTTGTCGACTTTGATGCTCAAAGTTCTTTGGAAATCACTTTATTATTTTTGTATGGTTTATTTTCGTTTTTCATTGAATCGAACCGATGTTTCGACGGCTTGTCGAGCTTTGTTTCGATGTAATTGAATTTTCTTCAGCCCACGACCACGGGGCGGATGAACAGCACCGCCGATAATTAAGTATACGTGTCGTGCGCCAGCCTGCCATGTCAGGACTCATAATGCACTGGCAATTATCGGCAGAGCGACAAGAGGGCAGTAGATGAGCGGCAGCCGGACTATTAGACAGGATAATAGACACTTGAAATTGCATTCAGCTCCGAGACACACTGTCGGAGGGCTACAAGATCCTCGATGGCAGGAAGTGCAAGGCCCACACTCCGGCGGACAGCATTAATCATCTGTCAGTGGCAGACAAAAGGCCCGGGTCCTTATTGGTTGTGATTTTTGGGCAAATTCCCACTCGAGGGACACTTTCTGATGAAGTGAGTGCCACGGGACTGGGGCTGTTTGTGTGGGTGGTTTATGGCCGGGTTTCGAGTGTCACACACTCGCACACAATGCGGCAGAGGCGACAAGTTTTGGGCTGTCCACAGGCTGTCGGGCATTTCATGCACAGTCGAGCGACTGATAGGCAGCCCTCGCAATTTATGGCAGGCAATTTGTATTGGTGGGTGGTGGGAGTTCGGCTGAATGGCTGAAAGGGCATTTGTCAGTGTCGGGGGGACAAGTGACGGCCCAGTGGATAGACCGATAATCTCAACTGTGCACTACAGAGACGGCAATATGTAAATTCCCACATTCACACCTTTCTTCTCAACCAGACAGACTCGCAGTTGAAAAGTGAATCAGTAGTTCGCACGAAAACTTTATAAAAACAGCCCGCATGAGTAACAGCGCCATGGTGGCTGTGGCCATTTGCTGCATCCTCGTCCTGCTGGCCGTCTTCATTGTGATCATCATAGTGGTGGGCCAGACGATCGAGGAGCCCAAGTGAGACATGCTCCAGCTGGGACCTGGCAACTTCCCAGATGGATAACAGAGGCCTCAAAATTGTTAGTTGCCGCCACCCCGAGCCTCCATCATCATGACCTTGGCGATATCATCGAAATTTACCGACACACAAGGAGGTGACAGGAACAAAGAAAGTGACAAAGGAACAGGAACAGGAAGGGGAAGCCGAGGGAGAGGAGGAGAAACAGGAACCAAAGGAGCAAGAAGCCGGAACAGTGGCAGAAGGAAATGCGTCCCATCGTCAGTATCCATTGGCTGTGATGTGAAATTTTTAGAATTTGTGAAGCAAAAATATAAATAGAATCAATCGAGAAATCAACACAAACACGGATCGACTAAATTTCGGAACATTCCGCATCCCGAACATCTTCATGTAGCATCTTTCCGACTACTAAGTGTTGTTAATATAAATGTATATACACGCATTCAAATTATATATATGAATATGAATATATTATATGAATATCTGAATATATTATATACATACGTACCGTTTAACAAGCAAGAAATATGTGTAACCCAACCGTCGTAACGTTGCGTTCTTTTTTATAAAAGTGTTGTTAACAAAACCGATTTTTATTAATGTTTTATTGATGTTGAATATAACGTATACACACTCACACACCAGTGGAATAAGTTTACATTAAATGTCCAGAGATGTCAAAATTGATGAGCAGAGATCCCAAAAGAAATCCGAAAAGAAAAAGGATTATTCGAAGGACAGAACAGAAGCAGGACAATAGGCAGGCAACCGGAGAGCTCAATTGTTTAATATATATACGATATATACCTTTAGATCATATCAGGAGCGGAAAGCAGTCAGCAATTGCACTTGTTAATTGCACAGGAGGAGAGCAGGCGAAGCAGGAGCTGGAGGACTTAAGTAGTTAAATATATCTACGTATACATAGGAGATATGAATTATATAGCGGAGATATGCATTTTATATATCAAACAAAACAAAACAAAACAACTTTTTGGATAAGTTTTATGTGTGCGTGTACCTAGACCGTAGCTAACTCTTGTGTATACAAAAAACAAATGATAAGGCCGTTATCAAAAATGGACATAACCAAATATATTCGATATGAGAACTTAAATAACCGATTGAATGTAGTTAAACAAATTTCGAGCCCCGAAACCCAAGTCCCAAATTAAATCAATGCAAAACGTACGTGCGCTGTAATGAAAAGAACCGACTTTCACTCAATTAAATATGATTATTCAATGCAAATGCGAAAATCAGAGAACCCAGCACTCGTGTGCACCATAAATTAATAAATAAATTAATTAAATATAAATATCAACAACAATGGCTGGCAGCAATACAGAAACGGAGAGAAAGGTAAGCTTAAAGGATGTTCTTGGTGATTTCCTGGAATATTCCCCACTTTCACTTCAGTTGCAGTCCAGGGAGGGAAACACAATAAAATTCAATTTGAATGCCCAAGAACCCTTCAAGTCTGAAAAGCAGTTACAAATCGTCGCCTATCGACATTATTTCCCAGTTTTTTGTAGCCTGCGAGAGTGGGTAATAAAGTTATATTGGTGCAGGCGCCTGTCAACTTGATTAAAATTGATATGGCCACTTTTGCCGGTTGTCCGAGTTACCGAGTGTGAGGATAAGAGCGGAGCTCCCTGGGGGCCTTGGACCACATTTGGTTGCAAACGAAATCCAGACTACTGAATGCAGAAGCCAGAGCGGCAAACAAAAGTCAACTTGATGAATTTCTCCAAGTAATCATAAAGTGATGGAAATTCAATTTACACAGCATTAAGTATGGCAGAATGGGGGAACTCGGCTGTCCTTCACACGGGTGTGTGCTTGTGTGGTTTATTATTATGCAGATTAGGGCAAGTTGCCTTAGCTTTAGATATGCCGTACCTTTGGCTCTACTGTTGCCTTACTTTCACCTGAGCCCCATGATTTCTGGCATTCAACGAGCAGACTCGTGTGAGTGAGTGTGCATAAAACGCCGCCCCTAGCTCCCTGTATGCAAATTACATTTCATTTTGAATTTTCGCTACCTTTTTGGCACGCACACACACTCGTATAGAGGCAACCTTTATGGGCATTCAATGCCTTGGCCAAATTGAAGCTGACGGCAAATGTCACGTTTTATGACTGCGTTTGCATATCAACATGTATGGCCCCTTCGAGTGGGTCGAGGTGTGTGCTGGAGTGCGATTGTGCCCGAGTGTGAGTGTGAGCTGCATCCGCCCAGCACGCTCGAGTGCTCATCTAGCTCCTCACTTAGTCAGCATTATGCAAATGCCCCATCGCCTGCCAGACGCTCTTTGCAATTTCAATTTGTTTGTTTATGAATTGCTACTAACACAAATTAATTGCCCAATTCCAGGGCAAGCATATTGTTTGTTTGCGATTAGTGGGCGGCTGGGGCGGGTGATTGGTGGGCGCGGCAATCACCGTAAGGGAAATAATTCTGATTCGGACTCGGATTCTGATTCTGTATCGGAATGTGAGTGCGAATGCGAATCCGAAACAGAATCAGCAACGGAATCCGAATCAAATCCAAATGCGAAATCCGTCAGTGCGCAAAAGCAATTATCTAAAGGAAATTGCTCAATTAGAAAGTCCAAATCGAAAGCCAACTAAAATACACAAAAAGGATAACAGAACAGATGGAAGAAGAGAAGGCCATCTGAGGATATATCAGCATAAGTAGGATTAAGGCAGAGAAACAAACCCATAAAGAAGCTAATCTTAAATAAGGAGAATCAATCTGAATGAGAATGGAAGAGTGGAAAGTACAATTTTAAAATGTTAAAATTCTTGTAGAATTTAAAAGCCATTCTCTCATCCTTCGATGATTGTGCATAAGTAGAAGTAGCTTTTTTATTATTCCTCCTAACATTTGCATTATGAACGCCCCACAATGGCTGCGAGATGGGAGATAGCTTCGAGAATTGCAGTCAGCGATGTGTAAAGCCCAGATAGAAGATGTCCAGCCAATGTTGGCAATAGTCAGAAATCAGAAGGACATTAGAGGCAGCGGAAGGCTCTGTCCGGGCAGAGGCGGCAGTTAGAAAAGTAAACTGCCTGCCTAATGACTCGAAATTTAATGCAGTTTTGCGAATATTGACCGCATTCCCACCAGTCATGCCAGAAACGCAAACTGGACTGCTGACTCAACTGTCAATTAATCAATTTAGCCAGCCCTCCAGCCGGTTCCAGGCCCTCAAATTAATGTGGCCACGTTAAGAACACAAAAACAGGATGCGTTGGTGTAACAAATGTTGGCGTTTTTAAAACCAAATTACATTCCATGGAAATGGTTCGACAACAAACAGAGATTCTGTCCTGAGCCGTGGCATATTTTTCATTTGTGGCATTTGTGTGCCTGAGCCGAGCTACTTTTTGTGGCACTTCCTGCTCCCATGTTTTTGTTGTTCTCGGCCTCCCGATTCGGCCGTGTCGCTACGCATTTTAATGCCGCCAACGAGTCGGTCCACAGATTTATGGCCATTTATTGAGCATAAGTGTTGGCAATTTATGAACCAGCCGCGCCCAGTTCCCCCACTCTAAAATGGCATTTTAATAAGCGACTAAGAGTCTGTGTGTGCCGGAGTGTGTGTTGGTGTTTGTCTTTGAGCTTGTGTGTGTGATGTGGTGAGGTCTTTGTGCTGAAATGAAGATTTATAAACCCGGGCCCGGCCCAGGCCCCAGGCTCCAAGCAGCTTCGTCAACTCCCAAAATGGCACAAGTTGTTAGTGCGGGTTCAGAGTACCCATAAATCTCCCACAGAATCTTGTTTAGTTTATTGAATTATCAAACGGGTCGGATGTGTGCGGAGTATGACATTGTCTGACATAAAACTAAAAGAAATATCAAACACGTGCGGCAGTCACAGGGCACTTATGTAAATACACTCCCCCCAGCAGCCACCCATCTATATTTATAGTTTTATTTGTCTAAGGTTTGCTGGAGCGGCATTAAAATGTGGCCCGATTCGACTTATCTACATCTCGCGTATTTTCCTCATTTCCCAAAACCCAAACTCACACACCCACGTGCCACACGCATTTCCACTTAATTTTCCTGACTCATTTAAATAAATTTGTTTGGTTTCTGTGGACTTTTGGCATGCGGAACACGTTTTTGGGCAGAAATCTGAGAAAAATAATTTTTGTAGCATATTTTTTGGGCGGAGGAGGAGGGCCTAGGAGCACATCGACTTGCCATTATGGAAATGTGCGTTTAAATTTATTAATTTCTGCTCTGGAAGTCCTAGAAGAGCCCCCCGCAATAGCTCCGACTTTCTTCCATGAGAGTTCCTCGAAAACAAACATTGATAATGCCGCAGAAACCTCAAGACCACATACAGGTGAATGAGAATCCCATGAAGTGCTGCTGCATTTTGAACAACGAAAGCCAAAAAGTAAACTTTCCACCTACAGGAAGGAAGGAAAACAACAAATTACAACTTTAAGCTTCAGGGCGCCACAAAAGAATAATTTCAATGTCTAAAATCTTAACATTGACAGCAGATGCTGGCAACAAAGTGTGGCAGTGTGTTGCAGCAGAAAAGGGCCACTAGATCAGGGTTACAAGCCAGCGCAGGCACTTCAGAAGCAGAGTGCACACCCCCGTTCCCAACGCCTCCCTGGCCACGCCTCCTCGAACACCCCTTTCTATGCATCATCGTTGTGCACTTGGCATCAATCAATAATTGCCCATTGAGAGCAGCTGCTGGAAGAGGACTCTGCTGAACCAGACACTGCACTGGGAATCCCAAATAGTGTGATTTACATAACAGACATCCCAATTCTTAGACTATAAGCTTTATTAAAGATGTATATAGTCCTCAATAGATCTATTTCTCTTATATTATTATATCTTATAAGGTATTAAAAGGTTGAAGGTTCTACATTTTGGTTACTGTGTACCTGGCCAACCGATGCCAGTGCCATGATTGATTAGCAGCATGCAACACGAGGTGCTTCAGCTGAAACCCGACTAGACAGCATAATATGGCGCTTATTGAATTGAGTCCTTTGGCTGCCTTTTGCCTCTGCTTGGCTGCCTTCCTCTACTGCCTGCCTTTCCTTGGCATTTTTGCTGCATTTTCCGTGCCATGGCCACCAACAGAGCACTGGCTGTTAATGATATTGCATTGTATCTTTGGAATCGCCGTGCCTTTCCGAAGGCAAGCAGGGCGCTCGAGAAGGCAGCTCGAGTGGTGGCAGTCGGTGTTTTTATCCACTCTCCTTTCAATCTCTTTGACTGCCGCCAGCATTCTCGTTTCCATTATGTCAATTTAACCCAGCGCCTCCCCCAGACCACTGCCGATCTGCAATTTAATTGCCACCCCTTATTAACCCCTGTCGACCGACAGCCAAGATGCATTCAGCGCCTTACCCGTCTACTTTGAGTGCAAAATAACGTTTAAATCATATTGACATTTCTGCGCTTCTCTTTCTCGTTGCAGGTACGTTCACAAGAGTCGGCCACAATCGTGAGTAGCTGCCACAGCCAATTTTATTATTTTGCCACTTATCGATAAATATAAAAAGTTCTTGGTTCAATATAGTTAAAAGTTCAAAGTTGAGAAGGGCGCTTCAACTGCAGTTCTGGGTCTTTTTCTGGGCGAAGTGCATAAATAAATGCAAAATAGCTTAGGTCGAAAGCAGAACTCTCCAGTAAAAAGTCAAAGAGGATTCTGAAAGGCAATATGAATTACAAACTTCTTAACTGGCCGGAACTGAGTGTCCGTGGGGGCGTATACGTGATCTTTATTATAAACATAACCCCTCTCAGGCCAGTCAGGCTATTAATGAGCTATAAGTATAAACAGTTGAATTTAATAGCCCTGGTAATTGGCAATATATTAGACTCAATTTACCTGATGGCTAACACAAATATGCACTTAAGACCCTGCAACATAATATGCATAATTATGCCTGCCACCCAATCCCCCAACCACCCAGCCAGCCGACCGGCCAAACTAACCCGAAACCAAACGAACCGGTGCTCAGGCAGCAGCTGTGCCTAAGATGCCTATCCATAGATCCGCAAGGACTCATCATCTTCCTGCCACATCCGTGTCGCCCACCTGCCATCGTCTTAATCAACGCATTTTATCGCCATGATTTTATTTTCCGGGCCAGAATAAACTATTAGGAAAACTCATTTTCATGAAAATCCACTTTAATTGCTGTTACCGTTGCTGAGATGTTGTTTTTCCCCATCTGGGTGCCTGTGGTTATGGCATTTAGGCAGGCAGTGGTAATACACTGACAAAAATAGCAACTTTCTGATAAATAAATTTCGAGCTACAACCTAAGATGGTAGGGCCCTGACAGCCATGTATTCTTTTAAGTGCTCTACCCACCAAATATCTGGTGTCGGCTGTTTCTGAACGGCATGCCAGCCACCAATAAAGCAACGCAAGGCGTTGCGCCGTCTCTGGTTTTGGGCCTGGCATTTGGCGAGCGGTGTTACTTGTAAATTTAACGCAAATTGTCTGTAACATGAGCTCCCCACGACAGGTGTCTACGGCAGCGAGGGGAGTGCTGTGGTTGGGTTGAGCTTTTTGGTGGCCGGGAGCGCAGCGGGTGGTGGTGCCAGTGTAAGTGCCAACAGCAGTGGCAGCCATTAAATTTTCAAGAAGTGTGTGTACTCGAGCAGGAAACCCAGACCTGGCAGACATCTTAAGGATGGAGAAAGAGTGCTGTCGACAGACAGACAGAGCCACTAAAGATTATGGGTACTGGAGGGCGACAAAAGTGTCGCATTGGTAACACAAACTAGGCGAAAATTTGATTTCGGAAGCGTAGTTATTGCTAGTTGGCTTATAACTTATAAATGAAACTAAAAGTCTCTAAAACTTTCACCCAACAATCTGGCTAAAGTTCATATAGATGGTTTAAAGTTTGAGTTTGAGTTTGAGGGCGAAAGTATGTAAAGTTTAAATAAAACAAACTAAGTGAATAGTTAAGTAGAGCGATCATAAGTTCTAAGGACTATCAAAGGATTTCAAAATGTTTTTTTGAATATTCTTCTGTGTAGTTTATTAGAGAAATTACGTTACGTGTGTCTTGGGGACTATCGCGGGCATCTTGGCATCGTTACGCGTCTCGGTTTCAGTTTCACTGGAAGTTTCTGGTTACGGTCGGGGAGCATTTAGTGGCAGGCCTCCCCGGGGTGCCGTTACAGGTGATGCTGCCACAATTACACCTGTTCGCAGAGCGGTAAACACGTTTAGCAGGCAGCTTGTTTCCCCCAATGGAAATTCTGTCATTTAGCAGCCATTTTATTGCATCCATTTTGTTTTACGAAGCCGCAATTAAAATGCTGCTGCATTTTTGCAGGCATTGTTCCGAGCTCCCTTGGCATTGAAAATACAAAAGGTGTAAATTAACATAATGACGGGGCCTGAGTGGGCCAGAAAAACAAATGCCGGAGCAAAACAGCAAACGCCGTCGTGCTTCATGGCCCAACAAAAATATTTACGGCAATGCAAATGGCGTCTGCATAAAATTTATTGACACTTTACTGCGCATTGTCATTGCGGTGGCGAAACGGGAGTGGTGCAGGTGCAGGTGCATGGTGGGTGGGTGTGGCGGCTGACATTGTTACGCACCCCACTCGAGTGTGTGTGCGAGCTTGTAGCTGCGTCCATGTGTGTGTCATGCAAATCCGTTCTCATTTTAATGAGCAAACTTTTCTCGGGCGCCATTTATTTGCTGTTTAGTAAACTGCATTTCAGATAAAGCGCTTGCCTCTGCCTGTCAGAGTGTGTGTGTGCCTGTGTGGGCGTGTTAGCGGGGTTTTCGGAAAATTAATTTAAAATACCCAACAAAAGCGACAAACGGGGATAATCGCTCGGATCGCTTGCCTAAAGGGATTCTATTCTGGCTGCGTGAATAATTAAGTGGAAATTATGTAAACGGCTTAGTTGGGGCTTTTGGCTAACACAAAATGTTGACAGGGAATTTTGGTGTGTAACATCATAAAATCAATATAGACGGCATAGAGACCGAGGCATTCATTTGCCCGAATTTGATTTCCGCTGCCGCACCATGCCCCGAAAAACACAAACTACAGTTACAGCAACTTTAGACCGCAGCTGCAGCTGCGTGGCTGCCACAAAAGCCAACACAAAGCATGCCCTCCCCCAAAGCCCTCTGACCCCTTTTTCCTTCAGGCCCTCACCACCCCCCTCCCAAGAATCCTGGCCAACATCAAACACATCTTGGCCGGCTCATTTATTATGTACCAGAAATGAATTTAATTAGAGACAAAGCCGCAAGGCATTGGTAAATTTTCAGCCAAAGTGGCGAGCATTTATGCGTATTTTAAAGTTCCAGATGGAAATAACTATCCATCAATGGAGCATAAAGTATTAAATTTTTCATAGGATTTTCAATTGCCCTTCATTTTATAAACTGATCATTAAAGAGGAACTTCTAGAACCTCTCCAGAGATACATTTTTATTTAAAAAAATCAATCCCTTTGATAGAGAAAGTAATTAAAGGATTAAAGCCAGAAGAGAGTACACAAGTGGAAGCCGCTTCCACTGAAATCACCTTGAACAATGCCTCGGTGTGGGTATGCTGTGTGTTCTGATGTGTGTGTCTAGAAAAGCTCTTAATAATTTCCGCTGGCTTTGGCGCACACGTTGCGTATACGCCATGGCTGCCGGCACGAGTCGAGTACAGTACATGGATTTCCTTTTTGAGTTGCACTGGATCAGTGGGATATGGAGCTCCCATATCGCCAGGCCCCCACCCAGAGCCGAACCTTGGATGATAGATAGACGTAAACGAAAACGAAAACGAAAGCGAAAGCTTGTGAGCAGCTAAACGTAAACGTTATAAATGGACAGACGGACAGACAGCTTGTCATAAAGTCGGGGGAAGCGCATTTCCTTGTTATCGTGTTGTGACTTAAATAGAGCTGCAGGAACTACAGAGCTACATGCAAATCAAAATCATTAACACTGTGTATTTGTCTTCCCCCTCACATTTCTACCCCCGAACAACCTGCTCACCCCACCCACCAAACCTCTAACCACGCCCCCAATCACCCCCAACCCAATTCAGGGGCAGGCGCTGCTCATTTAAAGTCGCCCGGCGCAGATGGGGAGCCTTGGATGCAGCCGGTGGTGGCCTATTTGGAGGTGTCGTCGCGACCCACAAAATCGCCAAGTAGGTGGCGCCTCTTCCTCTATTCTCTCTCTCTCTCTGTCTCTCTACCTATATTTCTCCTACACACACTCACACAATGTCACCACCACCAGTACCACCACCACGCCTCCGCCCACGCTCTCGATGTGTATCGTTGTGTATGTGTGTGCGTTCGATCGCCTTGGGCCGCGTGTGTGTATTTGTTTTAATTGGTGTGCGTGGTGTGCCCGTTCAGCGCGCCCGTAGTTAACAGTTACATTTTAGTGTCCACCCGTAGTACCTAGTTCGAGTTGCCCCAGTAGACAAAACAAAAACTCAAACGCTTAATAGATGTACATAAATATTGCGAAAACAGAACAGCAACCAGAAAACACGAGCACAGAGAAGAAACTAAATCAAAGACGGGTATAAACCTTTTAAATAGGTTATTGCATGTTCAATTAAAGAATTTAATAACGATCCGTTTTCAAAAAGAATTCACTGAAACCCCAAAAATTGATGGAAATTTCTCTCTGTACACCCCACACTTTCACACACACTTGCCAGATTGCGAGATGCCTTGTTGAAAGCTCTTGTTTCGATGCTACGTTCTGTTTATGTGTTCTTTATTGTTATGTGTGTCTATGTCTTATCCTATTGGCAAAATGAAGTATCCTTTGACTTATCATGCCCAACCGCAATGCAAACCCTTGCGTTTGTGCTGCTTTCTCCCCATCCTTCCACCCGTTTTTTGCAGAGTGTGATCAGACCTTCGTGTCGCGGATCGGCGGACCCCAGAATGGCAGCTTCTCGGCCCCGCTGCTGCATAACCATCGCAATCATTCGCGCCAATGCCTCTACACTTTCCTAGCAGGACCTGGACAGCGCGTCGAAGTAGTTTTTAAATCATTTAATTTAAGAGGAAGTCCACCAGAGTAAGTAACATTTAGAGCTTCATAAATAATCGACTATCATTCCTTGTTTCTCGTAATATTTTTGCAGTGGTTCGGCCGTCGGTGAATTACCAAGGTAAGCGATCTTTACTCTTTACTTATTTGTCGAATCAAATATATATATTATTTACTGATGTGTTGTAGCTGTGTTCATGAGTACATGGATATCTACTCGGAGGTGCAGTCGTCGGAGCCAGCGGAACTGATCAATTCGCCATTCGGGGGTCGCTACTGCGGCACAATACCGCCGCGTCGTCGCATTTCCATGTACCGGGCAGTTGCGATTTCATTTTTTAGCAACAAGAACGTGTCTACGGATCTGTTCGAGGGCACTTTTAGGTTTATAAATGCATGTAAGTAGCCTTATAACGTGAAAAAGATCCAGCTGCTGCCATATAGTAAGATGAATGATTAACCATTTTATAATTTTTATTCAATCCAAAAGCGGAATATGAAATTGGCATTCCCATTGCGGGATCGCCATGTTCCTACACGATAACGCCAAGCATGAGCGTCAACAAAACTGGTGCGCTCATATCGCCAACCTATCCAGGTGCCTATCCGAAGGATATGTCATGCACATATCAGTTTCTTGGTGAATCGAATCAGAGAGTTAGATTAGAGTTTCGTGATTTTGATCTGTTTTTTGGTGGACCACAGTGAGTACCTCTAATGCTGCACAGTTGAAACAAACACAAAACATACACATGCGAATACTGACATAACCGGTAACAAGTCAAGATCAAAGCAAGTTTGGCAAAAATTTGCTCTGATTGGCAGCACCCTCATCCACACACACACATACGATATACACTCTTATTCTGTAATCTTTCTGACAAAACAAAACCAATTCTTCTCTACCCAAAAATCTGCTATCCCATCTGCAAAATTTCAACAACTACAATAACCACACTGAAATATAAACAGCTGCCCATTTGACTATGTGAAGGTGTACGATGGTCCCGATAATTCGTCAGCATTAATCGGTACATATTGCGGGCAGCAAAGAAACTTAGTTTTGTATTCGAGCGAGTCGAGCCTTTTTGTTCATTTTTATACGTTACCGCGCACCGCAAATACCCAAAATCGTGGCTTTAAAGGAATTTATGAATTTAGCGAGAGTTTTGTTAAATTAGATTTTATACGTAAGTACTGTGAATTGTTGTCTACAAATGTTCGTTTGTCGTTTCAGTTGTTGACCATGTTACAAACGCATCAACAACCATTTTGTGGCCCATCCATCCAAAAAATGTTGGCCAAAAGCATTGCCTACCTTTGAGCGCCATAAAATGGTTGTCCTTGCGAATAGCATTTGAAAGCTAATTGTATGTGCTTGAACCAACCCATCCACTGGCTTTGTTGATTTTTGATGCAATTTTATTTTCCACCCAACTGTTCCAACTTTTTCTAACCACATCATACAAATTATAACCTCTCGACACTCTCTCTATTTACTTCACAACGAACCAAATCACAAAAAATACACTTTTCTGCGCTATCTGGTGATACTACTATCTGGCCCATCTGATCCGACTGTTCTATCGAAATTACCCACTAACCTCGCAATTTGCAACAACAACAACAAACCCTTGCCCCATCAGGTGAAAATGATGGCATTCACATACGTGGCTCAGAATGTGATCAAAAGATTTTATCGAAGAAGGAGTCTACTGGCTTTGTGCTCTCACCCAACTATCCCTATCCCTATATACCAAAAACTGTGTGTAGGTGAGTACCATTTCAAAGAAAAATAACTCTAATCTGTATATCATCAAATTTAATGTTAATATTCAAACATTTAGATATTTCATCTATGGCATGCAGGATGCCCAGCATCTGGAGCGTGTGCGTCTCGAGTTTAATGCTTTCAATATTCCAAAAGTAGAGCACAAGGACAAGAGCGAGTAAGTAACATTTTTTGATATAACAATTTTTAGATATAGAAAGAAAGAAATAAAAATTTTACAATTAAAACAATTAATTTACCTAATTTATAGTAAGTTACTCTACCCTTTCGGAAATATGGTCTTCAACTATAAGACTATACTATATTGTTAAACTTTTACCTTAATATTAAGCATAATTAATTTTTGTATTACCCAAGGTCCAACTGTACGGACGGCTATCTGAAGATCTATCTGAAGGGCCAGGAGACGGCCGATGCCTACGACAAGTTCGACTACGAACTGTGTGGCAACGAAACCCAACGCGTGATCAGCGAGGGGCCCCGGTTGGCCATGGTCTTCAGTTCCGGTGAGCTGCAAGGTCGGGGCTTCAAGGGCAAGTACACATTTGAGACCGAGTACAAGATCCCGGGCACGGCGGCTCCGGACGGCACCTGCAGCTTCACCTACGTGAGCAGCTCTAAGAAACGCGGCGAACTGAACAGTCCGCGATACCCCTCCAACTATCCGTCGGACACGAACTGCTCCTACCTGTTCCTGGGCGAGGCCAATGAGCAGGTGACCATCGTGTTCGATCACTTCAAGATCAAGGCTGATAACAATGTGAATGCCACAGCGGGATCATATGGGTAAGATTTTATAAGGGATTATCCTTTTATACTATATTTTTATACTACACTAATTTTATAGCTCCGGCGCCTGTTTCGAGGACTGGCTAGAGATGTATGTTGTCTATCGGGACAATAACGATCGCCTACTGGGACGCTACTGCGGGCAAACCGCCCCCGGACCCGTCGAGAGCCCGCGGGGAGCAGTGGGGCTGCGCATCACCCTGCACACGGACCAGGAGAGCGTGGCCAGCGGCTTCAAGGCCCGCTATTTCTTCGAGTCGGCCAAATCGGATGCCGGTGACTGTGGCGGCAACTTCAGCAATCAGGACTCGGGTATCATCACCTCGCCCAACTGGCCGGCTGGCTATAAGGCTCCGGGTCGGGGCATGGCCTCCAACGCCTGCAACTGGGTGATGACCGCCCGACCAGGCTATAAGCTGTCCATTCACTTTGAGCAGTTCGGTCTGGAAGGAGATCCAGCAAGTAAGTACTCTTAGAGCTGTTCTTTGGTTTTGAAGAAAACTTAACTGTTGTGTAAACCCAAATAGGTCGCGGCTGTCCTGCTGCAGTGCTGCGTCTGTGGATGAATGTGGACTCAGACCAGCCACCATTGGAGCTGTGTGGAGAGAAACCACCCGTGGAGCACTGGCACTACACGTCCACCGGCCAGACGGCGCGGATCAGCTTCACGACCAGCGACAAGACAGTGGGCGCTCAGGTAAGGATTCCAATGTGCTACACACTCAACACTTCCTAATTATTTCTCCACCATTACAGGGCTTCCGCATTGTGTGGACCGAGATACAAGACTCCGGTCCGGGCCCGCCGTCCGTGGGCCTGCACTGCGAGTCCACGTACCACTTCCAGTGCGGAGCCGGATACTGCATCTCGGACAAGCTGAGATGCGACGGCGTCAAGAACTGTGGGCCCGGCGACGATACTGACGAATTGCACTGTGAGTCGTGAGTGAGTCGAACGGTTCAGTTCAATTTTTATTTTCCTTCTTTTCGATTAAGTTTTTAATGTCTAACTCTTACTGAATACTGTTAAGTTTTTTCGTGTTTGTGTTTCCAGTGCGCAGCGTCCGCTGTGGGGCAAGCAATTCACATTTTCCACTTTCATTTTCTTGGTTTTGTTGGTATTCCTGAGTTGATCAGCGATCATTACATTCTTATTTGAAAACTTGAACCCGACGAAACACTTGCAAACCGTTAATCATTAAATATATCGATAAACTATTCTAATAATCCATACTAACCTAAAGAACCAACTAAAAAGGGTGAACCTGAATAAATATCTCTTTCTAAGTCTTTTTGCACCTTACAAGTACTCGTATGTTGTCCTCTAGATGTTCTTTTATCGTTTTTCTTCTTCATTTCGATGGCCAGACATCCTTTTTGTACATACCTTCTTCGATAGTCTAACGATAGGGAACATCCCGTGATCCCCATTCCCTGCTGATCCTGTTGATCCCCACCAATGCATTCTGCATACGTCTACTCCTCTCACTCTCACCTCGAATGGCATTAAACAGCACACTGCCACAGATTCAGAATCAGATTCAGATCAAACGCATATATCCTGTATCCAGTCTCGGGGACTTCTCCGCCAGCCACTCATCTTAACTCATCTTTCTCTCTTTCTCTCTCTTACTTGTCTAATTCTCCCTCTATTTCTCTCTGTTCTTTCTTTTGTCTCCACTTACTACAACTACTCGACTGTGAAACTGTAAAAACATTACAAACTATATAAACCCCCTCCTCGAATCTGATATATCGAACACCCCCAAACCCCATGGCACAGGTGACGCAAACTCCACGCATTTGCCCACATTTCTACAGACACTTGTTTTAGCAATTACGGCATTAGTGTTAAATACGTACAACTAAATCACATGACGAGAGTCACGAGAGATCAAAGCTCGAAAAATCAAAATTTTTAAATCGGAATTGGAATTGCCACGAGAATCAAAACGAAAGAAACCCAAGTTATAAGCGAGAAGCACTTCTAAGTAAACATGTTAACATAAATGAAACATTCTAATAGCGAGAATTTGTACTCATTTTTCTAAACAACAACGCCAAGCAACAAAACAAAACTAAATCTATTAACTCTAATACTTAAGTAACTAAAAACAAAACTCTTTGGTCACAATAAACACGTGAGTCCTGCATAAAGCTTGTCTACAATCGTTCAATACTCCACGCCACCACGCCCACTCGCTCATGACATGCACAGCGATCACCTCAGACACAGTGTCACCCCAAAGTCTAGACAACTCAAGCCCCCAGCCCCAGTAGCTTGAACAACAAATCTCAGTCAAATAAATAATACCTTTTGAGACTTATCTTACGTTGCATCTCTAAGTTTTAAGTGCATTTTGAGAGTTGATTTGAAAAGCATGCCTCAGTTTTTGGTTCTGGCTTCTTTATGTTCTTGCACCTTTCCCCTCCACCACTACCTGTCATGTGCACCACATCTCCAAGATGTCTAGTTCACATATTTATGTAAATGTATACCTTCCCGGTGCCTTTAAAAAACTCAACTGAAAATGTCTACCCTTAATCTATTGTAATGCTAAAATAGGTATAAAAAGTCCCGAAAACGGAAACCACAGCACACACACAAAACCAGAACATTAAGTTTAGACTCACCCACATGAGATCAGCTAACAACCGTCCAAAGATCAACACTCACTCCTAACTAAAATCGATTATTTAACTTTCCACTTTAGCTACAAGTTGTTAACGAATGCCCATTCTATTTCCCGATTAACTCAAATCAAAACAGGTACCACGGAAGCGGCCGAGGAGGATCACGACGTTCTAATTATAATAACACTCTTCGTCGCCTCGTCCCTAATCTGTCTCCTATGCATACTCTGTCACTCCAGAAGAAGCCGTAGGAACCATGTCCGCCAGTTGGGTCTCCATCGGAATGCGCATTACGACTCCCAGACCAGTGCAACGGGTAATTATATTCAATTTTTAGTAGACTTCAAGTCCTGTAACATTAAACTTTTTTGTTTGAAACTTATTTTAGGTTTCCTTTGATTTTAGTTTCCTTTTTGATTTTTTAAAGGTAATTTGTTACTTATTTTAAGACTTCTGAGATCTACAGATCCAAATAACAAAAAAATGTATACTTTTATCAAAAATATGAATTTTAACACTTTTCTTATCTCAGCGGGTCTCAGCTCCAGTCGGAGGCATCTGCAGAGTGGCGGGGCCAGTATTGCGGGCAGCCTGCATGGAATCAACAGTGGCACCCTGATCATACCGCCCGCTCCCTTGCCGCCCACTAGTGTGCCGCCACCGCCCCACATCTGCATCGCCGGGGTGGACATGGGACACGGACTGATGTCCAACGGGGAGGACGACGACGAGGACGACCTGGAGCTGGACGAGGACCAGCTGGACGCGGACATTTTCATCAACGATGTGCATTTCGATGAGGACAACATCGATCATGTCAACCAAATGGCGAACGTCTAACAAAGGTTAAGAGCAGTTTTAGGCACTTTTATCGCAAACTTCAGTTTCGGTTTTAAAACGCATTTAGAGTAAGGCTAAGGCTAAAACTAGGTAATGGCGAAAACAGAGCCACTTTGCAGGGCAAATGCAGTAGAATACACTCACACACGCACACAGAGGACACACGCGACCCACACAGATACAGAAGAAACTGACAGATACAGAACAAGATGGTGGAAGAGGCGATACAAGAGCAGAAACAGAAATTCAAAAGTTAACAATACCTAAAAGACAAGAAATTATGCAAAAATGCGAATTGATTAAGACATAAATTTAATAGAATCGAAGGGGCTGGGTAGTAGCACTTAGAGTTGATAGAACGGGATGGGAGAGCGTAAGCAAAGCTAAATAGGTACAGTAGGGCGTGCATATTGTAGTTGCGATAACACGACGAGGCAGAAGCGCTTCGCGTGGGCAGGAATGGGCAGAACGCTGCAGCAGAGGGCTGCAATAAGAAACAAATAATAGCTACATTTAATAAACTATATTATACACATAGCGAAATACGTATGGCGGGAGGGCAGCGTAAAAACACAGGGCACTAGGCGAATGTGTAATAAAAAGCGAATGTGAGGCCGTGCAGCCGAGCGGCCAAAGCGGAAACGGAAGCCAGCCGATAGTGCGGGCGGAAGTAAGAAGGAATCATTTTCGTAGCCACAAGAGACCGCAGACAAGACGATGAAATAAAACAAAGTTGTTGATTTTTATATTTGATACGAGTAATATTTAGGGGAAGCGTAAATTGAATTAATTATACAACAGGAGGAGGAAGGACGAAGCGTAAATAAAACAATACACCCATTCGCAGAAACCGACAGATAAACCGATAACGGATAACCGATTAACGGCAGACACACACTAAAGGGCATAAAACAATAATAATTACTACCTTTACATACGCGCATGACTTTTTATTTACACATTTTGTACAAACTAAATGAAAGAGAAGCATCCTCGATCCTCGAAGCTACACAAATCAAACGTAAAACAACAAATGGCAAAGGAGGCGAAGGACGAATAATGCATAATAAAAGAATTAGTGACTATCAAAACTGTATCTTCCAGCAAAGAATAAAAGCAAGAGTTAATGACGCTAAATCGAAAAGTTTATATGAGAGTAAAAAGGAAATTCAATAAATTAGAGGCCCCTAAAAACGGAAATGAAAGCGAGAAATGGAAACGGAATAATTCAAAGATTTTTGTCTATTTAAGCACATTTTTATAAACATTTAAGGCGAAAAAAAAATATTTATAAAAATGTATACGCTAAAGGGAACGATAATAATAAAGTAAATTATACAAGAAACTAAAAGCAAGAATCTAAACACAAGGAACCGAATATTTAATTCAAATTTTGTTGTGCCAAGTCGTATTTGGTGGTCCTGTGTATCAAATATGAGTTTTTGTTATTTTAACTACCTTGTTATCGACCTAAACCTATTGTAATTTCAATAACGATTTTAGTTCATATCAGTTTCCTCCGTGTTGGAGTTGGACGATGAATTTTTCCAAATTTCGTAAAACAAATAATAATTATTGGTTTCATAGCGCACGTACGTTTTGCAAAAGAAAATTGAGAAATTAAAATATACGGCTTAAATCAGCGAAGGAAACTTAAACCCGTTTAACGTAAAAACCATTTATAATAAACGTATGTAGGTGTTACAAAAATGCTAAATTAATTAAATAAAATAAAAACAAAAGATAAATAAAGCAAAATAAATACAATTACATTGATGAAGTAAAACGTTGTTAAATTGTTGCATAAAAAAGCATACTGATCAAGTAACTCCTAAGAATTAATTCATAAAAATAAACCTTAGTTTAAGTGTACAAATTTTGTTGTTGTATTACATTAAAACCAAAACCAAAAACAAAATGAAAATCAGATGCAAACAATTCAATTAGTTAATAAAACTCGGAATTTGTGTTCTAGCAATAAAAAAATTAAATATAAATTTAAAGCGAAAACAAAATAGTACTAAAATGTTCGACAAAAAGCGATTCCCCCACAAAACCCTACCCCAATAACCAAAAATGTTCTAAACTAACAAGCGTTTACTAAAGTAACACAAAGTTAAATTTAAAACACCCCAAAAAGAGCAAATGTTAAAAATACAATTAAACCTATGAATAAGCCACGCGACGGAGAGTCAAAAAACACGTTTGAATTGAGAAACGTTTTTCGAAAAATTGAAGAAGAAATCCAGAAACAGAGTCGAAAGAAAAGCGAATCTCGGGCGCACTAATTGGCACACGACTCGTCGCCGTTTGCCAAAAGGGAAGATAATGAAATCCGAATAACAAAATAGTTGAATAATAAAATGCAAAACAAAATTTCAAATTAAAAGGAAACACCTACAAAAACAATTCCATGTTAACATTAAATATAAATAAAGGTAATTAAATAAATGAATACTAAAACCAAATTAAATAGAATACATTTAAATCACAGCTAAATAAAGGGGCGCATAATCACTTTAATTTAATTTTAAATTTATATTCATATTCTTTGAAACATTTATTTTTCCTATCCCTTGAAACTCACATAGTTCTTTTCTTAATACATTTTTATTTGTTTCAAAAGCAGTCATTAAAGGGTTTCTAAAAGCAAAAATAAATCAACTTGTTTAAATCGTCAAAGAATAAACACGTCTTTAAAGGACACTCAACCATGCATGCTAGTTCTGAGTATTTATGCGAAATTTTTCAAGCATTTTGTTAATTGCCTCTTCGTCGCCATCGACTTTGGCCTTGTCTTGCTGTAGAATCTCCTGGAAAGTTTTCTGCTTGGTGCCCACCAGGTAGAAATCCTCATCGGAAATGGTGACCTGCCCATCGGCGCCAGAAGCACTGCCCTCGTAGATGTCCAGCGCTTTGAAATCAAAGACTACGATGAGACGGTCAACGACGGGGAGACCAACAGTAGGTCCAACTCCCACTCACCCATGCTTTTTATGAGTTTTCCATCGGCGTCGGTGAAGTTGAACTGAAAGGTGTTGACAACAGTGCGCCGGGCAGGATCCGACTCTTTCAACTTGCTGCGTATCTTCTCGATGATCTCGTCGCTCTTCATGGCTTCTCGAGTTGCAAGTGTACCGGCCGAGTGTCGTTGTTCGACTAATTTAAGCTCTGATCCCGCAATTGAGGCAAACTCTGCGGATTAGCGCTCTGAGAGGCTGGGGCGCTTTGCATAATGCTTAATTAAAGTCAATTTGTTTTATATAGGGACATGATTGAAGCTATTGATGTGAGGAATGGGTGAGGGCATGAGAAAACCCAAGAGTGCAAATCTTTGGGGGCATACTATATTTTGGTAGTAAAACCAAAGCCTATCAACTAAAACTAGGAGGGTGAAAGTCAATTACTTAAATATTGCTTAGATCTAGGGTTTCCAAAGCTTCAGGAGGCCATCTTCGCTGTAGCTGGCCAGCAGATTCTGATGTGGGTGATGCGTCAGTCCGATGACATCCTTTTCGTGAACCTAAAGAATCCAATTTTGTGAAAGACACATTCAAAAGAAGGACAAGCATCCAAAACTTACGTTCAAAGTACGCTCCAGTTTTCCTGAGGATACGGAGAAACAGTACAGCACCTGATCCTCCCCAGCACAATAGATGAACTCACCGCGGGGCGACAGAGTGGCGGATATAAAGGCTCCTCCTTCTCGCTTACCCGAAGAAAATGATCTTACTATCTGGCCCTGCATGTTCATGATAACCACCGTGTTGGACCTATTGCAGACAATAAAATGCTCTGGATTCTTGGGCAGGATGAGAACAGTGTTTACGGCGAGCTCGTTGCCCAGCGGTTTGTATGTGGCCACGCACTCTGTAGTTTTCAGGGACCAAACCTTCACTGTGCCATCCGAAGAGGCACTTAGAACACTGTGGCCGTCTGGCGTAAAGGTGGCTTCATTCACAAACGATGAATGGCCTTTAAATTCCTTTAGCATCTTTCCGGACTTGAGGCCGTGCAGACGCACTGTAAAATCGAAGGAGGCACTTAGTACCTGGCTGTTATCACGTGAGAACTGAAGACAGGTTATGCCTTTGGTGTGAGCCTTTTCAAACTTGCGCAGACATTGGCCGGTGATGATCCGCCACACCTTAATCTGACCATCCTGGGCGCCGGAAGCCACCATTTCGGAGTCTCGAGAAAAGTTTAGTGCCAGTACGGGTTGTTCCATCATCATAAACATGTCCTGTGCCTGGTACTTTAAATCCTTTCGCACCTTGCCGGTTGTAAAGTTCCATACTTCCAAGAAGCCATCGACACTTCCTGTAATCAGGTATTGACCGTCGGGCGAGAACTGGGCACACTCCACGTGCGATTTTTGGCCAAACTTAATCTGGCGGAACAGTTGCGTGGGGTACATTTCCTCCTCCTGATCCTTCATAGCAGCCTTGCCTCGGAACAAATCAATGGTGGTGCCAGGTGGTAGGAGACCCTGATGCTGTTGCCATTTCAGGGCCTGTCCTAGCAAAGCCAGTAACCTGGACGAAGGGACAACATGCACTTCTCCGCTGAGTTCCTGGGCAATGGCAGTGCGACGCTTTTCCTTGCTGCTTCCCTCCGCATAAGCTTCTCTTGGGTCGAAATAGGCGCGTTGCAACATGTTTTCTTCAATTTAAGGTACTATATAAGATATACATATATGTAAATGAGCATAATAGTTTACCCAAGTGGATGTATCTTTCTGGCTCCTGCTGTTTCAGCATGCTCATGGGATCTGTTTGTCTCAGCAATGACCTAGCGGCACCCAATTCACGGAGTTCTATTAATTCCAGGACGATCTGCTCGTAAAGATTGAGCAGTTTCTTATCCGGCAGCTTTAACGACTGCGTTACTTTTAGGACAGTGTCCCAGTGGCCATTGGATATATCCTGCACGAAGCCATCCACACTGTCGACTGTGTTAAGGGACACACCCGTTTCCTCCTAAAAAGGAATAATATAGAATAAATGCTACTGAGATGAACTCCAGTAACTCACCTGTAGTGTCTGCAGGGTCTTCATCAAATTCGACTCCTTGAGGTATTGCTGGATGAGCCGAATAACACTTTGGAAGGGTCGGATATTAGTCTCCTGACTCAACTATGGCCTAATTCTATTTACTTACTCGGCAGATTCAATTTCTATAGACATATTTATTCACGTTTTGCTTAAAAGGTATGCTTAAAATATATTTTATTTATGTTTTTAATAAAGTAGGGAAATCTTCCTGAAGTCCCAGCCGGTCCAGAGTTGCATTTACAATAGAGATGGGAAATGTTCGTGTTTGTAAAATAAAAATGTAAGGTATTTTTATATGAAACTAGCAATGATATATTAAATGATTCATTTTTATTAAATTAAATGGATAAAATATATCCAGAAAAATGTTTCTTTTAAGATTTTAAATGTTAATCGCTCAGTAGAAAAATATCGCTCTATCACGATATTTATCGGCCTGTGTCGCCCGCAACAGCTGATCGAACCTCATATAACGCGTTTTTGTGAAATTCGAAGAAAAATAAAAGAATAATATTACCCACTCGATCAATAAAGTTTGTGAGGGGAATTATTTGATATTTTTCCTAATTACAATGCATTTTAAATATCCATGACCGAAGACACCCATTTAATCATGAGAAGGAATATAGTCTCGTTTATTGGTAATTCAAACTGGAATCTATATGTGTTTGGTATATACGTACATATGTACATTACCTGATCATTCCGATGACAAATACATATGTACAAAATGTTGCCGGTCAGCTGGCCGAAAAAAACAAACAACACAAAGCAGTTCCCGCTCTTTTTCCGTTTCGGCGGCAAAATACGGTCGCTCCATTGCTCTTCGTGGGGTGGTTCATTTTAAGTTTATCCATCTCCATGTACAGTTCTCCTCCAGCTCATCGGGAGTTCGAAATCTGACAACTGTTTGACTGTACTTGGCACTTAATCCGCTCTTTCAATCTTCACACGCAGACCGCAGCTTGGCCAATCTAATGGCGGCAGCAGCATCCAGTGCCCGGCAGGGACGAAAATACGCCGAGGGCACCCAGCCCTTCACCGTGCTGATCGAGGGAAACATTGGCAGCGGCAAGACCACGTACCTGAAGTACTTTGAGAAGTTCAACGACGTCTGCCTGCTGACCGAACCCGTGGAAAAGTGGCGCAATGTAAATGGAGTGAATCTCCTCGAGCTGATGTACAAGGACCCCAAGAAGTGGGCCATGCCCTTTCAGAGTTATGTCACGCTCACCATGCTGCAGTCCCACACTGCACCCACGGACAAGAAGCTAAAAATAATGGAGCGTTCCATTTTTAGCGCACGGTGAGTGTGCGAAAAACTCGTTTAGTCAGATCATTATTGTGCACCCTCTTTCAGCTATTGCTTTGTGGAGAACATGCGCCGCAACGGCTCCCTGGAGGACGGCATGTACAACACACTGACGGAGTGGTACAAGTTCATTGACGAATCCATTCACATCCAGGCAGACTTGATAATTTACCTGCGAACCTCCCCGGAGGTGGCCCACGAACGGATTCGTGAGCGGGCGCGCTCTGAGGAGAGCTGTGTCCCGCTGCAGTACCTCCAGGAGCTGCACGAGTTGCACGAGGACTGGCTAATATATAAGAGACGTCCGCAGGCCTGCAAGGTACGACTTCCATTGGTCCTAAATGTCTAAAACTAATACCATTTTCTCTCGGGATCTCAAGGTTATTGTACTTGACGCCGATCTGAATCTGGAGAACATTGGCTCGGAGTACCAGCGATCGGAAAGCAGCATCTTTGACGCCATCTCGGGAAATCATCAACCATCACCAGTCCTGGTCTCGCCCAGCAAGCGCGAACGGATGTCCAGATAACCGCCACTGCTGACGAACAACTTTTCCTGTCGTACCTAATTGTGTTTAGTAACAGACCTAAAATATAATGTAATCGTAGGAGCTCCTAGCTGAGCGGGCGGGGGACTACCCACTAACACTTCAATACCACTATGAAACGCATTCTAATTTTAACAATTATAATCCCAATTATATTCTCTTATCACAAACTAGATTGTAAGCGAATAATTGTAATAAAAACTGTGAGTGTTTATGTTAAAGGCATGCATTGAGTTTTGTTTGAAAGAAATGTATATTTTTAAAGGAAAACATGTGTTTCATTAAGACCAAGCGTGGAAGGTGAAAGTGCACTCAACCCCCCTTAAATACTACAATTTATAGGACGATTTACGTTTTATATAAATTTATATAATTGGTTTGGTAGAAATTGAAGTTACTTAGGTGATACAGCTTAACTAGGACATCCTATTAGGTGCACGTCGTTCTGTCACTTGGGTCCGTTCATGATTGGCGGACGGACACCGGGAATGGTGCCCAATGGCGGTGGCGGACCCATCATGGCCATGGGGTTGAGGATGGGTGGCGGACGCATGCCCGTCATCATGGGATTCATCATCGGCGGCATATACGGCATTCCGGGCATGCCCGGTCGTGGCGGAGCGCCCAGATTCGGTGGTGGGATGGACACGCCCGCTGGCTTCGGAGGCGCCGCCGCGGGACCTCCGGCGAAGGGATTGTTTGTGATCTTGCCAGCTTTGAAGGCGGCGGTGGTGGCGTCAATCAAGTGCTGAGCCTGCTCCTCCATCCACTTCTGGTAGTAGAACTTGACATTGTCGCGGTGCTTGCGGCCGGTGCAGTGCGTCTTTCTCACCGAGGGCGAGTCGTGGGTCAAGTAGGTGTCGCAGTAGTCGCAATAGTACTTTGGCATTGTACTATTTTATTTAATTTTACGGAGAATCGAAAATATTTTGACTTTGTTTTATTTTCCGCAACCAATGTGACCCCCCGTTGAAATAATATTTTGAGTAGGTGAACACTGGCGATATCAAAACTTATCGGTTGGTGTCATTGCTTAGGTGAATCGAATAGACTGGTAGTGTGGCCAGCTATCGTTTGGCGCAGCACGGCACAATTTCGAAATTCGAAACAAGTCAAAGGGCAACACCTCCAGCTGGCGCGGCTTTTCGAAATTTCAAATTTTTTTTGACCGGCGAACGAGAAAGACGTGTGCGCGGACGTCGGCTCTTCGTACCGGCAAAACACACCTTCGAATCGAAGCTCGAACGACGTAACGACGGCCAAGCCGGCACCCCGAAGTCGAGTGCGGCGTGCTAATTGTGCAAGGGCGAAAAAATTAAAATTAAAATAATAATAATAGTAGTTCTGAGCCAAAGAGCAGAGCCCGATAAACCAGTTCATCTAAACTAGTTTGTGTATGTGCGTGTGGGAATAGCCAAAAATATACAGAAGAGGAAAGGAATTTGGGCCGACAAGCAGACAATAGCTAGGAGGCTGCGGCAGCGCGAGGATTCAACTCCAGAAGTTGCTCGACCAGTTTTCGGAGTCGTCATTGTGTGCGTTCGTGTGTCGCGGCTTAGTCTGTTTTGTGTTTTTATTACCCGTGCCGAGGGAGCGCAGGAGGGGCATGAGGAGGAGCAGCTAGTGACCACCAGATAGAGCGAGAGAGCCAGCGCGATGCCCTTCATCCAGCGCGTGGTGCAGCCGGTGAACGTGGCCCAGGCCACCGCAGCCAGTCTGGGCCATGCCGGCGGCCGTTTCCACTGCACGCCGGGCAAGTGCCGGAACAACAACTGCATCAACAAGCAGTCCCCGGATGCGGAGGCCGCCACCACCGCCCTGGGGTCGCCCACCTCCCTCACCCGGGCCCTGGTCCACAACCACCACAACGGGATGGACGACGCGGAGGAGCCCCAGCCGCCGGCCGCCGCGCCCATGAAGAAGCTGAAACAACACGTCGAGTTCCTCTCCACTTCGCCCACTCGCGTCCAGTCGCAGTCGCTGCCCAACTCGCGCCACCCCAGCCAGCAAAGGCCGGCGCTGGCCAGGATCGCCAGCGCCCCCCAGTCGCCCACCGCCGGCGGAGCCTCCTCCAAGGTGATATCCGGGCACGAGTTCGACTCGATCAGCAACATCACCCTGAGCAACGCCCTGCGCCAGCTGGCCAGCCTGGTGCTCATCGCCAGCGACATCTTCGACGACCTGCAGCGGGACCTGCAGGCGGTGGGCGAGCGGGCGGGCCGCGTCCAGCGCAAGATAGCGGCGGTGGAGCGACGCGTCTGTGCCTTTGACCCGAAAACGGTCACAGTTCGTAAGTACCACCCACTTCCTAGCGCCAAAATGCATAATGAGAGCCGAGAGTGGGGTCCGCATTACACATTCCCCTGGCAAGTCAAGTGCCTTATCGGCAGGGCTTATCTCCGTCATCTTCCGCGCTTTGTATGCGCGGAGCTTCTGTGTGGGTAGGTGGGGCTGTGGCCCACGAGGCGGCCGCGAATGCGAATGCGAACGTGCTCCAATCTTATCTGCCTTTTCGCGACTGCCAGCTCTTGCGGGGGAATTCAATTTGCGGAGGCGCGCAGGGGACGAGGCGGATAAGAGTGAATGGAGAGATACCCTAACCAAATAGAAGGGTTGATTAATTAACTTAATAAGTAATCTTAAGAATTACAAACTTAATCAGGCCTGCTTGGGTGATAACTTTCCACCAATGTCACACTAGCATATGTACATATCTAGTCTAATATAGGCCATGTATTATTTGGACTATTTAGCTAAAATGGCAGTAGTTTCCTAAATGATTAGTTTATTTTTATAAAAGTACTTTTGTTTACTATTTATTTCTCTACTTACTGACCTTAAAAGTACAATTTCTTACGAACCACTCTAGTAATTCCCCGAACATCTCTTTCTTGTAAACTCCAACTCAAGGCCTGTAACTTTTCAAGCAAGCTCTTCTAAGGAAACTGTGTTTTAATGTGTACCTTAAGTACTCTAATTCGAGTATAAAAAACCTTGAGCTTTAATTAAAATTTTAGGCAAACAAACCCATCTCCCCAAGCCACATACCCTCCACTGCCCTCAGCCTGGAAGGGAAGCGAGTGGGACTCTCAGCGTGGCAGTGAAAATTAACACCTTGTTTACTTTGTCGCCTACCCGCCCTGTGGACTCTGGACCTCTTTCATACTTTTCCCGGCCAGGAGGGGGCTGAAAGGGCCTGTTCACACAATTAGCTCCTTGGCCGAGACTCTCCTACAATTACGGCTGGGGCGTCTGAGCTTAGATAAGCGGGCTAAAGTCGTTTGGCCCATTGTGTTCGCGGCCTTGTGTTAAATAGCGGAATGGCCAACACGAATGGCCGTTTATGTGGCAAGTGCCGGAGTGTCGGGGGCCATTGCAACAGCAACAGGTTGTAGCCAGTGGCTGTCAAACCGCTCGGATTTTCGCTGGCCAGCCAGGTTTCGAGTTTTTCGCCAGAAAAGCTCAATATTCTTGTGCCAACAATTATTATTATTTTTCTTGCTGCGCTGTGCACTTAGCCGCTGCCATTTCTGAACAAGAGGCACCGAACGTGGCAACTCATTGTCAGCTGTCATTTCGCAAGAGCTGACTCTGTTTACTTCCCTGCTCCTTGGCAGCTGCCCAAGAGCCGAAGCGGCAGCAGCTGCTGGTATTTTCAGAGGACGTCGCTCACTAATTGCTCAGGTACTGAGGCCCGGGAGGAACCCGGGAGCAAGCTGCCAGGAACTAGAGCGCCGGCCCAGGGCTCGTACATGGGCTGTTAATTTTGCAATTGGCAGCCCCCGGCCTCGCCGAGCCCCGCTCACCTGTGGCCAGGGCCATTAATGCGTGCCCATATTAGAAAATGCCATTACATCGCGCCATTTGCGGGCAAAATGCTAACCAAACCACCATAGAGTGCTGCGAGTGCAGCCGAGCGTGAGGAGGGTTAATATTCCTATTCCAAGTCCGATTCCATGTCTGTTACCGTTCGCTGGGCTACGCCGAGTTACGCGGGTTGCTCCGCTCCGATCGATCGGCCATGTTGCCACCGAGCAACGTGCAACGTGACTGGCATGGAGAGCAGCAGGAAAATATGTTACTTTTCCATGGATTTTGGAAGCAGTGGGCGCAGTAGGCACAGCAGGCGCTTTTCGCGAAAGAGGAGTCCACTTTGAAGAGTCCGACAGTCCGAAGAAGGACTGTCCACTTAGGAGGCACTTGCCCGCTGGACACTCTTGATCCCGGCCCAGTCGGAGGACACATGTGCGTGGGCATCCCACAGATACGCAGATACAAACGAAGCGCACACATGCCCGGAGATTGTTTTCTGCAGGAAACGGGCATTTGTAATTACGGCCACAGTGGGGCATAAATAACGCGAGATGGTACTACGACCATGTATGTACGTACGTACAGACACTCGTAAGACCCAGAGATATGGCCCGCATCCAAAAAACAACAAAAAACGAAGCCAAAAACCTGTTCCCACCTGCAACATTGCGTGTCCGTGTCTCGTTCTGTGCGAGTGTGAGTGTGCCGCCTCGAAAACTAAACAAACAAGCCAACGAAAAATACAGCCAGCCACAGAATGCCTCGTCTACACAGCCAACCGAAAAAAGATACATACTGGTACTCGCAGGGAACCGACAGATACAGATACAGATACTGTGCCGCGTTGTGCGTCTGTCTTTGGGCCTTAAACAGCAACGCATTATTTTCAAGTGCGCTGATGAGCATTTGATTGTGCTGCAGCCAAAGTTGGCCCAGGGGCCCCACTCTTCTTTTTTTTGGGGCCAATCCACTCCACTTCACTTTTGCTTTGGGCTGCGGTCGGAATTCTTACTGGCTGGACGGGTGGATGGATGGATGGCTGGCTGGTTGGCTCCTTTTGTTTATTTTCCCAACATTTTTCTCTCACTTGAAGCGCAAAACCGAAATGTAAACCAACTAAGCAACCAGTCCTCCAGCCATCCAGCCATCCAGCCAGCCAGCCATCCAGCCAGATACAGATAAATAGATGCGTCTGTCATCGTTAGCAAGTAAACAGCTCGGCGCGAACCCGAACCCGAACCCAGACGCGATCTCAGCAAGAATCCCAGTTCTTGTTACTGAGAGATGGCAAATAATGCTGCCTTTATTTTCCTTAAATTTCAATTAAAATAAAGCAAAAATAGTCGTAGTCTCCTCCTGAAGTAATACCTTGTATCTCAACTTCTCAGTATCTCAGATACGGGCCACAAGCTATGCAAAATGGCCATTGCGTGCCTCCTCTGGAGTCTGCCACTGGCGGGCCATTGCTAGATGCGTCTGCTGGGCGGCTGGAATCTGGGGATTGATTGCCGATCGCTGCCGGGCGCTGTTTATGCCGCATTGTTGCACGTTTGGCCAGCGAGTGCAGAGAACCAAAACCACAGCCGAATGGCCAATATAAATGGGTTGCGAGTCAAAGTTGCTGACGGATTCCTAAGCAACAGCACACAGAAAACACAACGAGAACACACAAATATGTGTTTTCCAATAAAAAACAATCAAATTAAATAAACCAATACCCCAAGTAAACAAAACCAAGGAAGTACCTTATCAATTTTTAAACCAATAATAAAAGAAAATATCTACAAACAAAAAGCTAGAGCTTTTACGAGTTAGTTCAGTTTTCGATAAATATTTTCCATCTATAAAGTATCTTTTAGTTCTAGGATTTGTGTTTTCGGAATATCCAAGTTCTAGATGGTTAAACCCCAAGGAGCTAAGCTTTTTCTCACTGTGTACTGCACGACAGCCGCAGTCAGAACAACAACGCACCTTCAGTCATTGAACTTTAAGCTATGCGTTCGACGACTGGAGTGGAGAGGCCCCTCCACCGCCTCCGCCCTGGCCTGGTCTGGCCTGGCTCCACTCCACCGTTGCTTGCCCCCCCTTTCCACTTTGGGGCCCATCGGTGGGCTGGAAACTCAACAGATCGAAGACGATCGGCTAGCTTCGGATTTGAAGCGCAGCGCTTTTCAATTTTCGATTCTCAGCCGCCAGCAGAATGGGATGGACTTCACATTAATGGGTCTGTCTGGGCTTTGTCTGTCCACCTCATATACCTTTTACAGATATAGTGTTTATGTGCGAGGCCGTGGGCAGGTAATTCTTGGTGTTTTTTTGGTAACGATTGTGTCGCCGAGGTGCAGCGGATGCGATTCGAGGGGCCTTGATTAATAGCCCCAGGGCCTCGTGGAAGCCTCTTTCGGTTTTCAAGTTCACCGGCCGAGTCGTAAACACCTTTTGGTAACGCTGCACCCGCATTTCGACTTTTATTACTATGGTTCTCCACCCAGCTCCCAAGTGGTTCTCATCGAGCACGACTTTCTAATCTCCACGTGAATGGAGGAGGCCCAGGGCCCCTGGCTCCCCTCACAATCTCCTACATATTAAATGGCATTTAAATTTAATTTCCCGGCCAGAGAAACGTGTTTGCAAATACCAGACTCCGCAGACCCGGCCAGACAGATGTGAGTGCCATGCCGAGTGGATAAACGTGGGCGTTAGAACAAAAGCAACCCAAAGCAGGGAAAGCGAAAATGCGTCGGGAAATTCCATCCACAAACTGCAGGAAAACACAGGGCCAGGGCCAGGTCCAGTCCATTCGCCAGAGTCCGGAGTCAGCGTGTGATATGAGTTTATAGATTCGTTCCACAAACCTGTACAGCATCAGCACCATCACCAGCCAGTCCCCGGTGCAGGTAAACAGCGGCACTAATCAAGCACGAACTGCAGGAGCGGCGAGAGAGGCAGGAGGCGGTCGGGCCAGGAACCCTGGGAAGACCAGGGCCCATTACCTTGCATTACCATCGGAATTTCTCAGCAGCAACTTGTTTCTTGGAATTCTCAGCCCAAGAACTTCAAGTGTGCAGGGCTGCTGCCTCCATTCCTCTGGTATTTTTCATTATATTCTGCCCTTTCTCGTTTTGGGCAGCTTTAAGGTCTCGCGAGGAGGAGTCCGGGAGCCAGGGCACCGGGGGCCCAGAGGTCCGGACTCCGGACATTACGTAAAGCGAGTGTGTTTGCCGCAAACACAAATTGCACAAAGCGGGGAACTGGAAACAGTTTGTCGCCCATTGCGGGTCTCATAATGCGGCCTTAATATCCGCCTGTCTGACTGTCTGACTGTCTCGCCTGGAAGTCTTCCCTTTTCTTTGACTGCCTGTCTGAGCTGATTTCCGGACGACTGATTGCAACAGCGCGTGTTTCATTCATCAGGCAAACATCACGCAACACCGGGCGACAGATGAGGACCAGGACCGCTTTGGGCCTCGTTGCCGG